GGGGGGGGGGGGGGGGGGGGGGGGATTGAGAGATCCCATTTCTGTTGGAGAGGGGAATGATACATTCCTTATAAGGGTGTGGAAACCTCTATCTAGTAGACAGTGTTTTAAAAACCTCGAGGGAAAGTCTGAAAGGGAAAGCCCAAAGATGATAATATCTGCTATCGGTGGGCTTGAGCTGTTAGCTAGTTCTTAAGTTTTGTTTTAGTAAAAGTCCTTCAATATTTAGTATAGTGTAACTTATCTTTTTTACGAATTGAGAACGATGTTTAGTTGAATTTTAAATTTTATTCAAAATTGAAGCATGTGTGCTTAGTGTTTTTTTTTTTTTTTGACTGAGGGCCCAAAATAGCAATTGAAAGCAATACTTTTCGTCTCCTTCATGCTATGTCGTCTCACATTTTTTCCAATGTTACTTGTGCACACAGAGGTCTGGCAATCACGGCAATGATAGCAAAGAAGATGCGAATGCAAGTCCTAGATTTTATGGTCTGAGCTCCCAAATTCAGAAATTCCAAAATGTTCCCAACTTAGACACTTGGAGAAGGGGATCAAACTATGAGTGTTCTCAAGCTGAAACAATGGGTAGAGCTGGCTTGAAATGTAGAACGTTGAAGAAGAAGCGAAGGTATCATAAAGTTGTTGCTCGAGATCCATCCACGTTGCACGAGCATGTAAAATCACTAGTTATCCAAAGAGGTATGCTGGGGGGAAACATTGGAAGTGCTTTGGATAGAACCATCATTTCTGAAATGAATTGTGATAGGAAGAAACAAATGGGCGTAGCTTACCATTCTTTTGCAGAAAACTTTGAACTAAATGATGCTGATAGAGCTACATGCTCTGTTGGTAGTTGCAGTGTCTCTAACAGTGATCACCGTGGGTTACGTTGTCGAGTTTCTATTGGCCACAATGAAGACACAGATGGTTCTACGAGTGATGCTGAATCTTTTTGTCATTTGGGATACAGAACTGACAATTTTCTTCTGTCCAGAGACGAGCCATTGGAAGCTGAAATCCATAGGTTAGAGTTACATGCCTATCGATGCACTATGGAGGCATTATATGCTTCGGGTCCTTTAAGTTGGGAAAAAGAATTATTGCTTACCGATCTACGTCTATCCCTCCATATATCAAACAATGAGCATTTGATGGAAATAAAAAACTTAGTTTCCACAAGTATTTCAAGTAGATGACAAGTAAAATGCACTTCTCTTCAAGTTTTAAAATTCTTATCTGTAGAATTCAATGATGATTCATGTGATTGTCCCTCTAATTGTAAAAAGCAGTATGAAAATGTTCTTTTATTATTTTACAACAGCTAGTGGTCTAATTTTGTAGTGTACAAACAGCTTTATTGAAGTTGAATTTATATTAGCTCATGAAAGTGTTGTGTTCTTCTCGTTGTCCATGTGTTCATACTATTACGGATGTTTATTTTGTTATATGCACAAGTCGGTTAAAGAAAAACGGTATTGTTACAAGGTTTTTGAGTTGCTTTGGATAGTTTTTGGATCGAATCCTTTCTTCACCTTTTTCATATGACCTTTTGCAGAGTCTATCCTGCGATAACTTTATCATCATCATTGTACCACTTGGAACTCTGCGATATTTCACTTGGGAACATAATCGATGCATTTGTTCCAGTGTTCGCCACAGTTCCTAATTGTGTAAATAAGATTATCCATTCTATTTGTATATACAACATGAAAGTTTTATTTACATTTCTTGTGAAGATGCATTGATTTCAGTTTATATGGGTTATTGCATCAATGCAATTGAGGACATGCTTGAGCCCGACATCCTTCTGCCTGTGGAGGATTAGACTCTTCTTCACGTCGGGGGGCTGATCGGTCTCGTTTCTCAATGGTTGAAGTTTGAAAGGTTGTACTTGAAACCTTAACACTTCTATATAAATGCACCTTTTTGCTATCAACATGATTGTGTTACATTTGTTAATTGTTGACATGAAACGAGCAATGAACTACTTTTACTAGTTTCATCTATTATACGTAAATCAGTTGATTCTTGCTACATGTCTCTGTCTCCAGGAGATCCTCATGAAAAAATCTTCAAAAAAGAAAAATAAAGAGATAGAAAGAGAGAAAGAAGCAGTCTAGAACATTGTTTCTAGGATCTGCAGATACTATTGTTTCACTGACCCTCATGACACTACGAACTGTCAATAGTTTAGTTAAGAGCCTCGTGTACAGTATTCTAAGTCGATGCATTTGATTTTGTCTCTAAGCGGACCGAGCTACCTGATAGATAAGGTAAGCTTGTGAAATGCTTGTCTTTTATCTTTTAACGACCCTGGTGGTTAGGTATTGAACGTCATGTTTTTCACTGGTTTATACCTCTACATCAGTTTATATATATACATAATGATTTAGACAAACATCTGCTAAAGAAGGGGAAAGAAGCTGACAATTTTTTGGTAGGTTTTTGAGAGATATCTGCACATCCATGTTCACTGTTATGTGTACACAAAATATTGTGTATCTAGCTATCAATTTTGGCTTTCAAATATGATCATATTCCTATCATAGCGCATCTGTTTCTCTTTGATGAGAATGTTGACTAAAAAGTCAGCAACTCCGGATTTGGGGGGCGGGGGGGGGGGGGGGGG